CTCCCCAGCAGCCCCAACACCCACTCAAAATCGGCTTCTTTCATAGGAGTGGACCTTGCTCCTTGCCTTCCTTCGACTCAAGTCTTTGCTTTTGGTCTGGAATGTGGGTGCCCAGCTGTGGATGGGAGGCCCTGTGCCAGCTGGGGACCCACCCGTGCGGGCCTTAGGGAGTTGCCCTGGGGCCCTATTCAGGACAGGAACCTTGCTGGTCTCTGAAGTCACACACACACACAGAGGAACACACACAGGCACCTCTGTTGACAGCCCTCCTTCTAATCTCGGATGAGCCTGTGCTGGCCCCTGGGCCTCTGGGGGCATCGGTCTCCCCAGGCTCCCCCAGTGCCCCCAGACAGCCCCCAACAGTGGTAGATGCAGCGGGTGATGGCTGATCCGCAGGGACGGGGGAAGGGGAGGGTCCCGTGACCGGCTCCACCAGCTCCCCACCCCAGGATTTTCATCAGAGTCTGGGGTGCAGATGTCTGTCTCCACGGAGCACCTCAGCCAGGAGGCTGCGGGGGGTGGGGGGGAAGCAGAATTCCTTTCATCTGCTTCCTCACCGGGATTTATTGAGCAGCTACTAGGTGCCCTGGGATTCCAGGTTCTGGGATACCGTGGTGGCTAGGACAGGCCGGGTCCTCGGATGAAATGAAAATGATACGTATTTCTAAAGTGTCGGGGTGAACTGCCTGGTGTGAGAAGTAATACAGCGCGATCGGGGGCCAGACAGACGGGTGGTCACCAGGGTGTCACCTGCAGGAGGTGAGGGGGGGCGGCAGGACGACCGGGGAGGCCGGTGTGGATGGAGTGGGGAGCAGGGAGGGCAGGGAGCCGAGGTGGGCAGGAGGCGGGGTCTGCCTCGGATTTGCTGATGGCTGGGATGTAGGTGTGAACCCAAGGCCACGCCTGGACGCTGGGGCCGGCCTCGGGGGGAGCCGTGAACCTTGCTGAGGTCTGAGCCATCCGCCATGCCCGTGGCAGCTGGGTCTCCGTTGGGCTGGGTCTGGTGCCCATTAGGCCCTCCAGGCAGCTATGGATCGGGCAGCTGAGCGAGGGGACCTATAGTGAGCAGAGCAGGGCTGTGTCCTCAGGCGGGTGGTTTTTAAGCCCCAGGAACGGGTTCAGGTTGAGCCCCAAGCCCCGAGCCCCAACCTGGCACTTCACGTTAGAAGCGGGGTCGAGGAGGAGGTACAGTGAGGGCAAGAAGGGAAGGAGATCCAGGAGAACATCCGGAAGCCGAGAGGTGTGCAGGTCAAGGAGGGGAGGACCCTCGGTGCTCCGAGGGGCGGCAGTGACCATGGGTTCTGCCTGCACATGAGCCGCTGGGGGTGATGGGAGCCTCAGTCGCTAGACCAGGAGCGAGAGGAGGGAGGAGAGCCTCTGCGCTCCCGGGGAGAAAAGGAAGAGGGTCGGGAGGGTG